GAGTTTGATTTGGTTCTGACTTCAGTCTTCGTTCGCTATGACTTTAATTTCTCAATGAAGGTTCCTATGCTTTCGCAATTTAAGTTCTTTGATTGGAACCTCAGACGACTTTGACTTTAACCAGTTGCAATATTGATCAAGTTGTAAACTGTAAAGGCTTCGATTTGTCTTCGAAACGCTCAGATTTGTGCTAAAACCCTTCTAATATGTATTGACTCTTTCGGATCTATGTTCGAAAGGCTCGATTAAAGTCTTCTCTGGCTCGAATCTGGTTTGAAACTCTTAGCCCCTCAGATCTAGTTCAATTCTGGTTCGATTCCATTGTTGTGTGCTTTGTTCTTGTAACTGAGTTGTGATTCGCATTCGCATTGGCAAATCCATATTTGATGGTGAATGATTGAGAGTGCCTCGCGACCAGAGATTTGATCGTCTTGGTGCATCTTGGTTTCAATTATAGTTTGATTCCACCTTCAATGACTTTGACTTTGTTCAGTTGGAGTACGAGTATGGATCCAGTGGGGAGCCTGTTGAGCCCTAATCTGACCTAATTTGAGCTTTCAAATACTGATTTGGTGAGCTAGAGGTTTCGAAACAGTCAACTGTGGTTTAGTTTGTATTAAAGATTTCGGATATATTTCAGATTCAGTTAAGTTGATTTGAAGTTGGTTTTGCTGTTATTAATTTGGTCCGACGCCTAAAGATCCGGTTAGATTTTGTCCAATTGCTTTGGTTTAAATTTGTTTTTTGGGGTCCAACATCTAGAATTATTCAATTGTTATCCCAAAATCTGTTGTCCATTTGTATTGCAACAGTGCTGGAAGTTTGATGGTTCAACGAGGGTTTGTCTTGCTTTGATTCAAAGAAGAGGAATGATGCCAATCTAAGTCAAAATCATATTGAAAGAGATGCGATGATGCAAATGAGAAGACAATTTGTTCCCTTAACCAAGGTTGTGCAGCCTCTTGCAGAAAACATTGGCATTGTGGAAAATTCATAGATCTTATTTGAAGTTCCACATTTTGCTACTCTCCTGTACTCTCTATAGGAAGTCGTCTTGCTTTGATTCAGGTTGCCGCAATGTTCATTTTGAGAATTGTGTCCAAGGGAAGGAGGAAGGAAGTTCAGTTCGATTTCCAGCTCTTCTTCAAACCTTCTTGAGTTCTTCTTGTCTATTGAATGCATCGTCGAAACTCTTGTTATTGTTTCACATTCCTCAACATTGCTTTGGATAGCTATCCTTTGCCAGCCGTTGGTCTCATTCCTAAGGATAAGCACTCTACTGCATGTATGCAGATTAGAAGTATAAGGTTTGGAAAATGGAGGATTGCCAAGCTCTCGTATGAGGTTTAAGAATAAATGATGAGGGTCGTTATCTTTGCATCTGCGGTTATGTATTCTAGGTTGCTACCCATATTCGTGGATGGATCAGTTGTGAAGACCATTTTGAGCAAGGAAATGCTATAGTACAGTAGTTGGATCACTCTTCCTCTACATCTCAAAAATGAAATTGGATTGCGTTGCTTTGTGGCTAATAAAACTTGAGGACAAGTTTCTTCATAGAGGGGGAGTACTGGCGTAGTAGAATAAGTACTCTAAGTGTCAAAATGAGTTGTATGTAAATGTCCACTTACTTAGTCAAGTATCCTATTAGTTGTAGCCTATAAATAGGGTGGTGTAATCTCATTTGTACTTAGTTTTGATTAAAAGAATATCCGTATTGATCAGAGTAAGAGCTTTGGTTTCTCTCTCTAACCCTTAGGGGTTTATCCCCTAATTGGGGATTTGTTCTCTCTCTTGAATTTATATTCTTGATTGCATCACTATGTGAATAAATGAATGTGGTCTATTCATTCATGTGGAGTACCTGCTTGCAAATCATTTTTCAATTAGATTATTGATGATCCAAATGTAGTATTCTTTGAACCTCATAATATGATTTGGAATGCAAATGTGCCACTTAAACTATAAGTATTTTGTATGGACTATGACTCATAAGAAACTCAATACCAATGACATGGTTTATATAACGAAATCTAATTACCAAGATTTTAAAAAGCGGTTGTGGTCGCCGTAATGGTTGCGGTGACGCGGTAGCGGTTGCGGAGTGTAAAGTCCGTAGTATAACGGTTGCCGTAATCACATTTTGAAGAAAACTTACCGATAGACATATTTTTTTTTTCTTTTTAAAATCACATGTATTGGGATTTAAAATAAATTTTGATCAATTTTTGTTAATTTTTACATATAATCCAATATATTTCATATTTTCAAATTACTATAAAAGGAGTTTTTTACATTTTATTTCAATAGTTAATGATTTTACCAAACCAAACCAAACCAAACCAAACCAAATCAAGCCAAGCCTTAAGTCCCATCAAATGGGGTTGGCTACATGAATCCTTCTTCTCTACGCGGCTCTATCAAAGCCCATTTCGTTAGTCAAATTAAGTAGATCCATATCTCTATTTACAACGCTAGCTAACGTTATCTCTATCTACAAATTATTTTTTACCAATACTTGAACTAACCGAATAAAAAATATTCACAATTATTAAATGAAAGGATTATAAAATAAAAATTGTGCCATAAATTAAAAAAAAATTATAAAGAAAAAAAATTCATATAAGATTTTTTTTTGGAGCTTAGATCACTTGCGTATTTGTTCTTTTTTTGTAAGCTTTTGTTTTTTTTTGGGGGGGAAAGGAAACTATTCAGAATATTGTAAAAGGGTGTAACGGTGTCTAACGGACCGTTACGACTGTTACAGCACCGCTACGGCGTTATGTAACACTGAAATGGTCATTACACATGAATTTCCTTCACACCGCTATAGCGGCTGTAATGGGCCGTTACGTAACGGTTGTGATCACTTTTTAAAACCTTGTTAATTACTATTTATATTTACAATGGTGTGTTATGTGTAGAAGGTGTGAGCATAATATTGATAATTCATTTTTACATTGTTCCTCTTGGCTTTGGATTTGTTATGGAGATTGATTCGGTTGGTGGAGGTGGATTGGGTGTCATCTTTTTCTTGTGTTCAGATGCAATTAATTGATTTTAGGGGTTTGGCCTTTATACGAAAGGTCAAGCTCTTTGGAAGTGTGTAATTTGTGTGGTGTTTTGGGTAATTTGGTTGGAAAGAAATGCGAGACTTGTTTAGGACAAATTTGAGGACATAGAAGGTTTATGGAGTAAATTGTTATTCGAATTTTTTTGGGTATCAGTGTCATCTTCTTTCAAATGGGTTTCTTTTGTTTTTAATTAGTACTAGTAGAGATTGGATAGCTCTGTGCAATATTTAATTTTGTTGTCTTTTTTCTTTTCTTGGTGGACTTCGTGTCTCCATTGTACTGTTTTGTATTTCTTTCTCTCTTTATTTTATAAAATCTTTGTTGTTGATCAAAATAAGGCAACACACCAAGTCCTAATTCACTAGATAATACTTGTAATCGTCACCAAGGGGCCGCCATACAAAATTCGTGTAGAAGCCCCTCCAAATTTTCCACGACTGAAGTTGGAATTGTTATTTATTTGTTTATTTTATATTATATTTTATTTTTATAGTAAGTGGGAAGGCTAGATAAGGTGCTTTTGATAGGAATTAACACATCACTTTTCGATAAATATTCTCTTCCTATTGGCTAACCTTCTTTCAAACGACGGTGGTTGTATTTCATTCTACTCTACTCGTTCCCCTTCTTTTATTGTCTTTAGATCCTTGTGTTTGGTATAGCCTCAATTCAGAACACACCGTAAATGTCTCATTTGTTGCTTCTTATTTGCATCAATCATCATAGTAGATAATTATTTGCATCAATCATCATAAAAGATAATCAGTGTGTTTGGTTTGAGTTTTTTAAATTAAGTTTTTTGAAAATTAAGTTTTTTGGTTTTTGTGTTTTTTTGTTTTTAGTGAATATTTTTTAAATTTTAAACATTTTTTTTTACTTTTTAGATGCACCTTATTTAGATGTATCTAAAAAGTAAAAAAATTATGAAAAAATATTTTAAAAAATTAATAAATACATAAAAATATAAAAAATGTACTGAATTCTCGTATTTTTTTTGTATTTTGGGTATTTAGTGAATTTTTAAAAGGTTTTTTCACAAATTTTTTACTTTTTAGATTCATCTAAGTTAGGTATGTCTAAAAATTTTAAAAATTGCTTAAAATATTAAAAAAATTCAGTAAAAACAAAAAAATACGGAAAATAAGAAAGTATAATTTTTTGAAAAGTGTTTTTTGAAAAGTGAAACCAAGCATGGTGTGATTTGCAAAAAGGCAATGAGTTCCGCCATGTAGCACCACCCTCAAATCCTGTACTCTGAGCCTCCATCACAAGAGTGAACAAGGAAGGTTAAAGGGTGTTTACTAATCGTAGTTGACCATTCACACAATTCAAGGAGACCATCTTTGAATAATAAAATTTGAACTTGTTCTTTTGTCTTATTTGAATTTTTTTTTAGGGAACTGGAATTATATATATACATAAATTTAAGGAATGATCATAAGGGAAAATGACGATAAATTTTTTTTTGGACTTTTCAATTTAAGGAATACAAAATGGGACTATTGGATGGAGTAGAACGAAACTGCATAATTTAGTTTGAACTCCTAACCATTGAGAACAGTGACACACCCATTTATTTTGAAGAGAAAAATGCAAATTTTGACATCACACATGCACATTTGTATATTTTTGGTGTCCTTGTGGAGCCACAATTTGTTGATAATTTGTCTTATTCATTGCAGGTCTATGACGTTAGCCATCGTGTTTCCCTTGACATAAATTCATCTTATTGGGCTCTCATGCTTGACTCCTTTGGAAGGATGGTGGAGATCTTTCTTGGCAAAGCTGGTAGAAAGAGGGTTTTATCAGGAAATGTTGTAGTTAGAGCTCTAAAGCATTGTTTAGAGACTACAAGGCCAGTCGTGTTCCTTTTATTTTTCTTTCTGGATACCTTTTTTTTTTTTTTCATGTTCAAACAGTTTCTTGAGCCATTTTGTCCCTATGGTTTCATTAATAAAAGGGGCCAAAAGTATCTGCAATTGGTGTTTTGGTCCTTAGTAAGGAAATCCTTGGTACAGTGAAATTCCAGATTCTTGATTTGCTACATTTGTTGACCAAATGGCCAGTCAGAACAGTCTGGAAGTGCCACCTTGCATTCAGACCCACATACTAGATGGCCAAGCCTGTGGAGGCAGCTTCCACATGATAGGTACTTAAATCTGAAAGAACAGAGTCATCATGCAATGGTTTGGGTTGCATTAGTGAAACTAGGATCCGTATCATAGAAGACCCTGATTCTTGAAGTCTACCCAGGTTGGAAGCAGGGCTTCGGGGGCCCAGCTCGGTGTCTGGTGTCGTCCATTGGCATACCAAGTCTCCAGGTTGGGATGTTGACTTGGGGACATCCAAAGAGATCAATCAGATTAGTGCCTAGAGTTGATTGAGAGCTAATTGAGGCTGAACCAATGGAGAGAAGAGAGAGGACTGAGATCATCACAGCATGACTTGTCAGGAAGCAACCTACACTCCACATACAACCTCACGGGCAAAGTGCCTCAGTCCTGCAGGTTGGCTGCATTATGATTTGTTCCGAGTCTCTGAGGCCTGCCATCCTTCACATCATGGGAGCAGTATGTAAAGACACATTAGCCCACGTTGATGAGCTAGTAAGCTCTTGACTCTCCAGCCTAGTTGTTAAAATTGCATGATTTACAATTTAAAACTTACGATTCAACTTGATTGAATTCCTAGTTGATACGAATTTGTTGGGTAACTTGGGTGTGTCAACAAAGAGCCTGAATCGGTGGGTGAGTTAGTGAATCGATGGAATTAATTGAGTCACCATCAAATTTTCCAAACAGTTCTTTAACTATTTTTTTGTTGGACGTGGTCTCTCAAAGTCTTTAAGGATTTTAAGGTGGTTGTATTTCGTTCTACTCTACTCGTTCCCCTTCTTTTATTGTCTTTAGATCCTTGTGTTCTCAACTCCCAACTTTCAAGACAGAGAAATGTTTATCTCTCCACAAGGCCTCACATTCAAATTTGGCTTTAGCTTCTTGAGCGCTTGTTTCCTGTAATTCAAGAAGTTTTTTTTTTTTTTTTTTCCAAAATTTTTATTTTTAATTGTTTTCTTTCTAGTGAATCAATACACTGAGCCACTACATCTTGAAATGGAGGCAACCACCCGCTGGGTCACCACTTACAACAAGTTTTGCATTAAGATGTGATGGTTGATGCAGCCCTTGACTACTTGTAAACCCATTATCGGATGTGGAAACCTAGAGTGAAGCCCGCAGAATTGAGGACCTTTTGGTCCAATAAATGAAATTGGTAGATTTTCTATTATTAGTATTATTTAAGCTAGGATTTAACTAAATAATTGCTTAAAAGATTCGAGTATATTTCCGAAAATTATTTGGTTTAGTTTCTTATTTTAAATTAGGGTTTTGGCCTATAAATATTGGGCTTATGTCGTTGTAATATTTAGGTAAACTACCAATAGGTCTTAATAGGTGGACTTAATTTCTATCAAGTCCTATTGAAAATAAGTTATGATAAAATCGTCGTTAAAAATAATTTTTTGCGACAATTTTTTGCACATGTCACTAAAAATTGACAATTAGTGACTTATTTTTGTCACGATTTTTATAAATTGTCGTTGAAACTTATAATTAGTGACATTTTTCTATGAGAATTTTTCAAACTGTCATTGAAAGTTGAAAATTAGTGACCTTTTTTGTGATGAATTTTTTAAACTGTTGTTAAAACTTATAATTAATGACATTTTTTTGTGACAATTTTCAAATTGTTGCTAAAAATAAAAAATTATTGACTTTTTTTATTAGTGTTTGATGAAAAGTGTCATTAATTCTCACATGACCTATTGGACAATCAGTTCACGTATTAGGACATACATGTGAATTCCCCTAATATTTAGTTTTTGGTTCAATAATATTGAAAGTGTATTTAGGCTGTGGTGTGTGCAAGATTTCTCCCACTTCCCCTACTGTTTTATACATCAATTCGTGTCAGTCAGGACTTGATCTCCTATCACTGTTCTCCTTCTCTCCCTTCCTCCCTCCTCTCTCCTATCAGAGGCAAATTACAGAACCCACAACAAAAAAAAGTTGAAACCAAAACATTAATCGAAGTCGAACCTCCCCAGAACCCGACCTCACTGTCACTGCCTAGCACCACCACTACTCTCATCGTTGTCTTCATCGCTTGGCTGTTTGAAATTGCTAGCACCATGTTGGTTACTCTCTCTGTTCCGATCAGCTACACCCCAATCAAGACACGGCATCTACTTCAGTTTTGAAGCAACCCAGTCAAAATCAGTAGTTGCTACTTGCCACTATTGAGTTCTCACTGGAGCATCGTTGTCGATGACAAGGTGTCAATGAATCTCTCTCTGCAAGTTGCTGTGAGCCATGGCAGCAACCAGGAAGCCTAGTGCTTCACCTCTCATCGCTGAAAAGATGATGTACGCTAAAGGGGATATGTTATATCACTAAAGCCCCAAACCAAATATGTTGAACTGCTCATGGATTTGGGACTGTGATGTTGTACATTAGAGTGATTTAGGCTCTGGCTGAGTGTGAGATTCCTCCCTCTTCCCTACTTATCCTACATCAACACGTGTCTAATATTTCAGATTTACAATAGATTTTTGATTTTTACATGTCTAGATATGTTTTTCTACCCATTTTAGAAAGTTTACTAAATCTTATGATATATAATTTGAAAAAAAGATGTTTTCAATTCAAGATTCATATCTTGATTTAGCAACTTCTTTCCAAACTTTTGGACTTAGTTCACTTCCTTGGGAGCCCTGGTCTCATCTTGTTCCCATCATTTGGGCATACTGTTCCATGGAGATGACCTCCTAAAGTAAAGAAACCTCACTATGAACTACATATTTGTGCCGAAGCTTGGTTCAGATTCAGATCTAGTGATTTTTTCCCATTACTTTTGCCACCCTTCTTTGGAATTGCTTATGCTTCTGTGGTCATAAAATTCACCACACCTAGCTTTTATTATTGCAAAATATTCTGAGGATCACACATGTCAAAAACTATTATGAGGCTCATGCTGTGACCTTTTTTCTTCCAGATGTCTTGTTAGTGTCTATCAGAGAAAATGCTCGCTATCAGAAAACACAGAACTATTAAATTTTCTTATCAGCATTGTGGCATGTTCTCATGCCGAGTTATATTGCTCATCCTCCTTTAGTGGCAACCAGAGGTACACTGCTGAATTTGGAAAGAGAATACCAAGGTACAACAGTTTATGGGAAGTTCAGACAATCACTTTCACTATGATTAGTGAAGTATTCTCTAGAGTTGGGTCTTCTCTTTCAGTTGACATGTGGCAATCAACAATTCAGGTGAGCTGACTCCTTTGTTTAGCTGACCATATGTACTCAAATTTGCTGACTTTTGTTTGCCTGTTTCAAATTAGGTGCTTAAAAATATGATGGATGTCTTGGCATCTAAGAATCTACTTGTGGAAGATAATGTTATGGCCAAGTATCCTCCTTTCCCTTTCCATACTCATTCACTATAGCTCATACAGCATTTCAATTATGAATTTGATAAGCATTTGGTTTGGTGGGTCTTCTGCTCTGCAGGTTTTATACATCACTTCTGCATTGCCTGCACTTGGTTCTTATAGATCCTAAGGGACCGCTTTCAGACCATGTAAGCAATGTGTCTTTGTTCTGTTTTAAAATGTAATATGAAAAAGGGATACACATTCTGTTATGTGATGTAGAATCAAGTAAATATTATGTATCTGCTGCAACACTAATGGTGTTTTGGCTTATGCAATATATATTAATTTTGAAGGTGGCGGGTTTTGTAGCAGCATTGAGGATGTTCTTCATCTATGGCATTGCTAATAAATCCCAACTTTTGTATCCATTGGTTGGTCACAAGAAGGACATTAGTTCCCTGAGGCTTAAGTTAAATTTGGGAGAATCTAGTAAATCAGATTCTGGTCCATATAGGCCACCACATTTGCGCAAACAGGACCTGACAATTCTGCAGCCACTGAAAGCTCAGGAATCTGTGAGTTTCTCAGTACAAGAATTTTCTACTATTGATTATACCTCCTCTGATTCAGATTACAGTGACAATGATGGACCAGCAAAAGATGCTGACAATATTCGCTGCTTCAAGGCCAGAGTAGCTGCTATTGTCTGCATTCAGGTAGTGCAATAACATCTCATTTCTTACACTTAATTCATGTCCTAGTGCTGTGGAGATTTGGCAAAATTAAGTATGTATTATCTACAGTAGGTCACTTTGAGGGAAGTTTTTTTATTGTTGCTTAAATAAAGTGATATTTTTTGTTTACAGGAACATCCTAGTGAAATTTACTTGCTTAGTTTTCGATTGTTGTTTTGTTCTTTAGGGCACTGGGTGTATTGTGTTTAGTTCCTGTGCATAAAATTCTTAAGATCAAGCTATCTTAGCTTACTGTGATTTTAAACTTTCCAACAGATTTGTAAAATGATGATCTTAAAGAGTTGTTAAAGTTGTGACCGTGATTATGATGACCATGGTTATTAAAACGATCCTATGATCCTACATTGCTAAAAGGATCCAGATTGTTGTAGGATCGATGTTATAATTGGATCGCAAGTAGGATCGTATAGGATCGTAAGTAGGATCGTAGATTTTATGATTTTTCACCTTATTTTTAATATGTGACAATCTAATTTGTATTTTTTATCTTTTTTTTTTAATAGAAAGTAGGATCTTACGATCCTCGATCCAATCCTATGATCCGATCCACAAGACTCTCAACAATCCTACCTAGGATCCCGATTTTAACAACCTTGGTGACGACTTGACTGAGTTATCCTGGTTTTGGTAGTGATTAATTTATCAGTCTATATCCTAGTTAGACTAGAAGAAAGTTATTCCAATACAATTCTATTCAACTATAAAGCCTATCTTTGGACTTCAGTCTTTCTTAATGGCTTTTATTATTGACAACTAATGACTGTAATGTTTAATTGCGCTGATCATTACTATTCCTTTTCTAGTTGTTAGAAAGAAAAAAAGAAAAAGAAAAACTATACACCACTGCTCAAGCATTATGTTGGTTTGCCTAAAAAATTAGATGTTAATTGCTAACAGTATATTTGCATTGAGGCCTTGAGGCAAGTGGAGGCCAACCTAGTAGACATAATATATGTCGAACAATTAATCATGTGGCAAGTATTTGTAGCCTTAGTTTATAATTCATTAATTCTAGTATATACAATGTGTTAGTGTGGGTGATTGTAGTTTCCAAATCATTCATGAGTGGTAGTCACATGATGTGTTAGGTGACTACTGCATCATTAGATTATTAGAATGTTTTCTAAAATATTCTACTTACCAATTATCATATTGTAGTATTGACCTATCTTTTTCAAATATACCAATTTCTCCAAAGTGGTATTGTTTTCCAATTCAATTTTGTGGCACTTGAGATAACAATCTAATAATAATGTGGTTTGTTCTATTTTTTAATTCTATTCTCCAGCTTCGCGACATTGTTGTTTTTTCTCTTGTTGAATTAGAATAGTAAGATTAAGGGTAAATACACTAACACACCCCCTTGAGGTTTTTAACAATTGTTAGGAGTGATAATTAGGTCTAAACTACTCTCAAGCTAAATAATAGACAGTGTTTGGTGGGGGATTATACAAGCAGCTTATAGCTTATTTTAATTTGGGAGTTTGTGCCGGACTTTTTGGTGCAACTTTTGCTTATAGTTTATTATACAGAAATAACTTAAATAAGCTAAACAAAATTGATTTTTTAGAAACTAGGAGAGGGGTGCTTTCAGCTTATGTTTTTTGATTATCACCTTTTAGCTTAAAATAATCTCCACCAAACACCCCCAATATACAGTATAATATTGACATCCCCCTTCAAACTTAGGATGTGACAGTAGGAAGTAGTGAGAGTTTGTCAAGTAGAAAACGGAAGTGTAAAACTTGGTGAAAAAGAAGGCCACCTGGATAGTAGAGGAGACGGGGAAAGATAAAGTCTGAAGCTGAAGATGATGGTGGCAATCAATTTCAATATGTTTAGCCTGCTCATGAAAACCAAAGTTATGAGCAATATGAATCGCACTTTTATTATCACAATACATAGGAGTAGGTGCAGAGTCTGCAGACAAAGAAATGCCAAGATCCTCAAGCAACTAACACTACCAAACAATTTTAGCGGTAGTCGTAGCCATAGCACGGCATTTAGCCTCAGCAGTGGAAAGAGTAACAGCAGTCTACTTTTTATTTTTCTAAGAAACACAAGAACTACCTAGACAAACACAAAATTCAATAGTTGATTTATGCTCTATAGCAACGCTTGTCTAGTTAGCATCAGGGAAAGTACAAAGTTCCAAAGAGGATGTAGGCAAACATGCAAAGTACGAACAACGGTCATCTTGGCAACAAGGGCAGATTATGAACAGCAGTCATATTGGCAATAGGAGAAAGTGTCTTCTCATAATCAATGATATATTCTTGAGCAAAACCTTTAACAACTAAATGAGTCCTTTATCTTTCTGCAGAACCATCAGCTTTAGTTTTAATCTTATGAACCCATTGACAGCGAGCAACATGCTTACCGGAAGATAATGGAACAAGGCCTTAAGTGCCATTCTTATGCAAAGTAGAAAGCTCCTCATTCATATCCTGTTGCCAAAGAGGATCAAGGACAAACTTCCTATAGGAGATGGGATCAGAAAGAGAATGAATAGAAGACAAGAAAGAGCGAAACTCAGCAGAATAAGAGGAGTTAGGAAAATTAAAATGATCACAACACTTGTGAGACCGTTGAGGATAGCAAGAAGCAGGAGTTCGAGGATAATAGAATGGTGGAACAAAAGATCATTGATTGTACAATGTTTAGGCATTCTGTAAGGGTTAGTTAGGAGAAGGGAAAGGGGGAAAAGTCTTGAATAAAGGCTTGTGAGGCATCTAAGTGGCGTTGTTGGGAGAAGAAAATAGTCAGTCCTTTCTTTCTGTGCATGGCAGAATTTAGGAGGCAGTTTTAAGGAGAAGTATTGATGTAGAGGATAAGAAACTCAAGGGAGAGTAAATTCAAAGAAGTGACGATATTTAGAAATTGGCATGATTTTAAAGAGAAACTGATAGTGATCTTATATAATTATGTGTCTAGTATTATTAGTGTCTTATTTTATGATTAAATTTATGTTTTTTAGGATTTCTAGGTTAGGGGTAATTTGGTAATTTTTACATTTACTGATATGAGCTGTAGGGGTCAAGTTATTTAATTGATTTTTATTTATGTTTCTTATTTGGTCTTAAGTTGATTTTCGAAGTCAAAGTAGTTTAGTAGTTTTCTTTTTTGGTTCTAGTTGGTTTATGAAGTCTCATAGTTCTATATAAAACTATGTAATTCTTATAATTTAATAGAGTAAATATTTTATGCCCAAGGCCTCTAGGAGTGATTCCTAGAAACTATCTTCTTCTTCTTTTTCTCCTTCTTTTTCTCCTTCTTTCCCTCTTGAATTTTCAGCACTTTTAACAGCCCAAAACACTGTTCACGGGTACTGTTGCAGCACCCAGAACGGTCCCAAAAATCAATATTCCTTTTCATTACATTAAGCCCTGACCCTAATTCTTCCATAAGCTAATAGAAGCCCTAAATTGCCCATTACTTTTCAGCTTGAAACCACAGCAGAAACCCACAGAAATCCAGCATTACAGTTCTCACAGCGCTGTCGTACATCAAGTATGTTGTTATTGGAAAGGTTGGAAGAGATAAATGGGAATTGATGATAAAAGAGGAGAAAACATCTTTTATGAGTTTGACACTAGTTTGAAGTTCTTTGTTTGCACTGTATTTGGAGCTTTTTTGTGTGTTTGTGTGTGTGTACTTTTCTCTTCTTGTTGCCTTTTCTTTATTTTTTGGTTGTATAAGGGTTGTGTCCCCTCCATCAAAAATGAATGTAAATACAAATGACATTACGTATTACACATTGTAGACACAAATTTCGAAGCATGAAATGTTTCGACACATTTCAAAATTTATGTTACAAATGGCCACTGTTTAGTTTTTGGACCAAACAGTGTTGATTATTTGATGGTAGACTCCTATTTTCGATTTGTATTCCCAATCATTAATTACACATTTTGAACAAATGAAACCCCCGATTAGTGAAGAACATAAAATTTAAGAAAAAAGAAACATTTTTATTGAATTGCTGGAGGTTTAAAATCCTTGAATATGCAAGCTACAATTGTTGGGCTTGGAACCCTTTACCTATTGCTCACATTATATGTTTGTAGTATAGGTTTTTGAGTTCTTTTGGTCTTTCTTCTTTCTTATGAAGACTTCTTTGACTACTGATTTCTTTGCATCTCTCTAGTTAATCTCTAATCTCTGTTTTCTCTTTTGATTTATGATCCCCCACCCTTGTGTGATGGTCCCCATATTTATAGTTGGCCATCTATGTGATAAGAGTGCCTTATCTCTATTTCAAATTTATAACACTATGATGTTATCATAACGAACTTTGTTGATTGCAGTGATCTCCCAGATTTCATCCCTTGTAGTGTCCTTGCAGTAGGTTCCATAGGCATCATCCTTTGGTTGAGCGTGCTGTACTTCAAGTCTTGTAGTCTCCATGTGTCATTTGAATATCTTGAATGACATCGTTAAAATATGACGTTATTGTACTTTTTCATGTACTTCAACGGATCATATTGATCATTTTAAGTAATGATTTCCTACAACATTTCTACGGTAGGCTCTGTATGTGCCGTCGATTGATTGACCGTGTCATTCTCCACGTATCAATTGGCTCACATGGGTTCAAAGATTTTATGTTTCGGTGGACTCATCATCCCATTGAATTTGAAACCTTATCATAAATTTGGTTTAAATTTATGTGTCAACAACACACACATACACAACTTTCCAGTCTTTAGAAATCAAGAAGTTTCTGTTGCTATCTATTGCTACATATCGCTGCCCTTAACACCTCTAGTACTGTTCTCAACAATGATCAATTGCCAATTTTTTAGTGTATTTTTGGCTGAATTAAAACAAATCACAAATATATATATTTAATTTTTTTTTTCCCGTTAATGATTGTATTAATTTTAATTTGATTCGATCTTGTGATTTGGTCTTAGATTCTTCTAACTATGGGTTCATTGCTTCATAGTCATGGCTGTGGGTTATGTTTCACATATGGAGGTGATGTTTAGGCTATGAAGATCAAAATTGAATGAAATAGAGGTTGGAATGAAGGTGTATTGGTATTGTCATGTTTGTGCAATGTTGACGTACAATATTTGAGGTGTTGATATTGCCAAGGCTGCTCACTGGTAATGGAGGTAAATTGGCATGTGGGTTTGCAGGAGTGGGTTGTATTAGTTGAAGATGTATAGTTTGTCTTAGTCATGGTTATCTCTCTCTCTTTCTCTCTCTCTCTCCATTTTATTGTTCCTCCAAAATAGAAGATCTACTTATCTCATCTTTGTTGTTATTTTATTACTTTATTTTCTTGCATATGTTCTATTGTTGTTGGTCTAGGCACTGATGCAGTGGGTTTCACCAGTGTGCGCATTAAGGTGGTTGGTCTGTCAATGTCATGGGTGTGGGTGGGAGGTAGGTTTAGTTGCGTTGGGTGAGAGATAGAGAGTGGAGATAGCACAAGGAGTTATCTCCCCATGGCAATACAAGGTTAGAGAGAGACGGAGAGAGAAAGCACATTGGGCTTGACTAAAACAGTATGGGTAAAAGTGTAAAATCATGTGCTCCTTTAATGGATTTAACACGGGTAATTCTATTCGCAGACCATACGCACCATTTGTGCCATTCGGATATCAGCTTTCGAACAAAAATAAAATGTCCGAATGTCAACTTCTGAAAAAAATCAGTTGTTTGAACAAAAAATTATGTACAATAGTTGATATCAGAACATTTGTATTTTGTTCAAAACACAAATAATGTACATTGAGACAAAGTATGGTGTGCAAATAAAATCAACCATTTAACACTACCAAGGGGTGCAAGTGTTATTTTAGAAACCTGAGGCGATGTCCTCCCAATTGTCAGAAACCTCAAGGGGTGGTAGTGTAATTTACCTTGGAGTAATGTGATGGCATCTTTTATTCCGCATCTTTGTGATGTTATATTTGATGGCAGTCGTTCTATCTGTTTAATTTGTGCGAAGGAACAACCTTGTGAAGCCTAAGTGGTGTTTTTTAGTTGTGTGGAGAAAAATATTATTATCTATTGATGCTTATTAACAACCAAGTGTTAAGATATTGATACGTTTCACCCTTGATTCCAATCGGAGGATCTTTGTCGAGCTGATCCCAAATTGTTCACTGCCCAGTGGACGATGCTTTTGCCCTCCAGTGATGTGCTGCAGCCAAGGTGAAGCTTATTTGTTGATAATTAATTCTATTTTCTTTTGCTTTTTGGTTACCCTTTTTTTGCATTCCTAGTTTTTTTATGCAAATGCTTGTTTACAGGAAGTATGAAGCTACTTTAATGACATGCTTGCTATTCGATCCTTATTTAAAGGTATTGCTTCTGTTGTCAATAATTACAATTTGGCTTTTCTCTTTTTACTATAAAGCTGTCTGCATTATTCCATGTGAGCCATTTATGAAGCATGGGTACTTCGACAAAGATGCTGTACCTATATTGGGTATTGGTACTTTGCATGATACTTGTGCATATGAACCGAGTACATGAAACACACATCCAAATTTTTTCTTCTTATATTTTAACCTCAGCCGGAATAGCATTTTCTTGTATACAAAGGTGAAGTTAATTTCATTAGACTTTTTATCTGTTGCCTGGTTTTAAAATCAAGATTTGGTTGTTAATTATTAATATAATGATTTAATTTGGGTTTATACCTTACTTTTGGCATTAAATGTGATATGTAGGGTGGATCTTAACCAACTAAACCATTTAACTAATTTTTGGATTACGCCAAATTAAAAATAAATATTTTTTTTATGAATGTACCAAGCCGTATCCGTACCTAAGTACCTTACTTTTTTTTTTAGATTTTACCATATTGGCGTACCCATACCATATCAGCACCTGTACCCATACCATTTTGAAACGATGTATGAATGTATCTTCACTTCTTTCATTGCAGATGAGTTGTTTTTGTGGTTTTATTTAATTGTGCTTAGTGATGATTTTGGCTGACATAGTATTGCTTTCTGGTACCTAGGCACGGATTGCAGCTGCCTCTACTCTTGTGGCCATGTTGGATGGGCCTGCATCTGTTTTTCTTCAGGTAGCAGAATTGAAGGAATCCACTAAATGCGGATCTTTCACGGCACTTTCAAGCTCCCTTGGTCAGATACTAATGCAACTACATACAGGTATCTGATAGACATTAATCTGTCAATGCATAACCTCCTTTCCTTTTTGATTCCTTGTACTTCTCTTGCATTTAGGTTTCCGTTTATTATTAGGAAAATGCTAAACATACAGAATTTTACACAAAAAAGTCCTACAAAATGAGGTGGCAATGACATTTATGAAATTATGATTCCTAGTGGTGGGCTTTTTGATTTCCATTGACGGCTATATATGAGCCACATCATTTTGTATAGAATTTTCGTACACAAATTATGTTTGTATAGCATTACCCTTATTATTATTGTTATTGTTGTTTTTATGACTTCATTATATCATAATGTCCTGCAGGTATTCTATACTTAATCCAGCATGAAACTCATGGTGGATTGCTGGCATCGTTGTTCAAAATTCTAATGCTTTTGATATCATCCACACCGTAAGTATACTCCTCATGGTTCCCAATTTTTGGTACACTTTGTTTTTCCTGGTTGAGAAACCATTTTGGTTTTTGTTAATGTTTATTGTTACATTCTAGTTGTAGATTCATAGTTTTGTTTCGTTGGACCCAAAACAGTTTCATTCCTTTGGCATATTTGTAAATATATAATTATCTAGGAATTTTTTTATTTTTTATTTTTTTGAGTTTTGTTCTTTTGTTTCTTTCTCTTCTTTTTAACTTAGATCTTACACGAACTCATCCCGTTAGTCCATTTGTATTAATACCAACATACTGTTGGACCACTTGGCAATTTAAAAAAAAAATAAAGAGTTAAAAAGTAAAATCACCACCACATTGAAATTATTTGGTGTTAGAGCAAATATCAAAGCTTTTCTTTTTGTAGCGAACAAATATATAATGCATTTGGATAATTATCTTGCATGAGTCTCCTGCTGTCGAGGTTAATTTCTGTGGCATTCTCAAAAGGATCTTTAATGGTGGTTCTATAAATACAATCTTACATGCAAATTTGGCCATGGGAACAATCTGATCCCACTCACTAAAATGGTTGCCACCAAAACTTCATGGTTACTAACAAACTGATTTCAGTGGTTTATTTGTGTGTAGTACGTATAAACTGTATATATATGTGTGATAATTTTGCAGATATTCAAGAATGCCGGGGGACTTGATGCCAAATCTTATCTCATCTCTTCGAGCAAGGATTGAAGAGGGCTTTCCACCTAGAAGTGATGAGACTAATCTGTTGGTTAGTATTGTTTAAATATTGTCTGTGGAGCTTTCTACCATTAGAGAAACCAATGGGTGAGCTATGCAGGTTAGGCCCCCTGCCTATCCTGCTCTTATTTGGGTGGTGAAGGTTAATGGTGAATCAGGATAGAGAAAAGGACACTTTCTTTGACTTGGGGACTTTGATTATCTGGTCAGGTCCACACTGTTTAAAACTTCAAACACCTTTTCTTTTTCCTTTGCAGTAAACATTATTTTATAAAACTTTGTCAATTGAATTGAAAACCTCAGATATAAGAGGGGCACTTGTTCCCATTTTGCTTAAACTCTTCATTTCTGGTTTGTGTTGGTTAGGGGGGGACTAGTGTATCTATAAAGGGTTGACTTGTCCAGCCCTGTCCTGTTGCCTCACTCATTTTTAATGCTCATACCATAATTCTATTAACTTTTTACAGGCTGTCGCTATTAATTGCTTGACTGCAGCTCTATCAGCCTCACCTTCCTCACCTAAAGTCAGAAATTTGTTTGTAGAAGAACTACATAAAGGTTAACTTTTGGTTTCTTTTACTTTTGGGAGATCATAAAACTGTTGAAAAAATCCTAGGTAGTGTTTGGTAGAGTTTTAGAATTATGATTTGAGAATAGAGTTGTATTTTGAGTTTGTAAGTTTTGGAATTATGATTTGACAAGAGAAAATTTGTTTGGTTAAGAGTTTTGAATTTTTGATGTGACTTATGAAATGAGAAAAGTTGTTTAGTTATGAGTTTTGAAAAGAGTTTTCAAAACTTAATTGAAAAATTTATAACTCATAACCAAACACAAAACTCAAAACTCTATTGAAAATTATGTTCAAAACTCATAACCAAACTCTTTTAAAATTCAATTCAAAAGACTAATTTGTCATTTTGGTTTAAAAAAATAATTTTTATATTTAAAAAATATAAAAAACAAATATATATATATATATATATTTCCAAATAACAGGTGGTGATTGACAATTGCAAAAAAAGAAAAAAGGTACTGTTCCGTTCAACTGGACGAACGATTGGCCGGACATCCCGGTAGACCAAAATTTCAAAAACTGTATGGTTTACCAAATATGTTTTCAAAATGTATTTTGAAATTGATCTGTAATCATTATTTGAAAGTTAAAACCAAACATAACATTTAAATATAAGGGTGGAAAATTGATTAGAGTTGCACACCAAACACAACCCTAGTTTTTGTCACTAAGATATCTCTAATTTTATTTCATTGTTTTGTTTTTATAATTGTCTTCTGTGTGTGTTGTTGTTCTCTTCTCTTTATTTATTTATTATTATTATTGCTATTATTTTTATGTGTGTATGCCCAGTCATTCACGACATTGATTGTTGAAAATTGATTTGCCCATAGTGATTTTTGGATAAAAATTCCTATGTTTTTACTTTCAATGTATATCTGGAAGAAAAGAGAAATTGTATTAACAATTCCTACATTTACTGATGTGCAGTACTTCAAAATGACTGGATTTTATCCCATTTGGTGATACAATTTCCAAACTACAGTTCATGAGCTGATAATTCATTTAATCTCTGACATATATCAATCAGTGGTGATTGGGGAGTGAGGGTGTCTCATTTGGAACCCTACCTCCCCATTGCATAATTAATTATTGCAAGTTATTTAAAATGTTAGCCATTGAAATTTGTTCTAGATGGATCTCTCTCTCTCTCTCTCTCTTTTTGTTAGAAATTTTTTGGGTTATTTACATGTAGACCCCCTAAACTATTGAAAAATATCACTTTGACCCCCTGAACTTTAAAACATACAAATGGACTCTCTAAACCATTGAGAAGTATTGCTTTGCCCCCTAAACTATAAAAACATACAAATGGACCTCCTAAACTATTGACATATTTCACTTTGACCCCTTCTATTAGGGGGTCCAATTGGTACGTTTTTATAATTTAGGAGGTCTATTTGTATGTTTTTATAGTTTATGGGGACAAAGTGATACTTCTCAATAGTTTAGGGGGTCTATTTGTATACTTTTATAATTTAGGGGTCAAAGTAATATTTTTCAATAGTTTAGGGGGTTTCCATGTAAATAACCCAAAATTTTATTACCAAAAATGATGTTCGCCTATAGTTTGACACACAATCCAACAAGGCTACACAAAACACACTTCTCACTCACCAAGGAGAAAAACACGTCTTACACCATGAGTGGAAATCTTTTACAGCCCATGATGCAATCCGCAAGAAGATCAAGAAAAAGCAAAGTTAAAGAAGTGACAATATTTGGAAATTGTCATGGCTACTAGTGTTATTAGAGTCTTATTTTATTGTTATTTTAGAGTTTTTAGGTAAGGGTTATTTTGGTAATTTTCATATTTGATGTCATGGGCTGTAGGGTCCATGGATTATCTTGTGGGTCAAATTATTTAATTAGTTTTACTAAGATTTCTTATTTGGTCTTAAATTGGTTTTGGAAGTTAACTATTTTTAGTAGTTACTTTTTTTATCTTGTTAGTTTAGGAAGAGTCATAGTTCAATATAGAGTCATGTAATGCTTCTCTTCAAGCTTTTTCTTGCATTCCTCCTTAGAAATAGAAGCGTTACCCCTCCCTTCCTATTGAACAATAGAATGCCGACATGACTAGTTTGATAGAGAATACCATGCTTCTCAAGATAGGCTCGAAAAGTGTCACACCCCAAATTTTCAAGATCCGAAACCCAATAAATAAACTCAAATAAAATGAATAAAGAACAATATTCAATATAATCAAAAGGTTCCCTCTCATATATATATATATATGGGTATCATTTAGTACATGAGATTGACTCATTACATACATCCCATATTCAACATCTAGGTGGAGTGAATATACAATATGTAATGCAAAATAACAACATTCAAAGAAATGCACTTAGGCTTACATCATAAAAGGGATTAACCCTTACAAAATATAAAGGCATTCGACCTATATTTCAAAAGAATGGCCCTAGGATGAACATCCAAGAGAGCTCTAATTAGCCCTTGTACAAGATCCAAGCCACTCAAGGTCGTGGCACATCATTAACACCTGAAAAGATTTCAGTCATGTAGTGTGAACATATAGTCCAGTAGGATAATCTTTCTACTCATTAATATACACCTACAAAGCGCATGATCATGATGCTACATATGTATTGGATACTCTACCGATTTCTCAAATCAATGGAAGTTTTGTTTTGCAAAATGACAAGTTATCATAAGTTTGACAAATATACATTTCATAATCCAAATCATCACTTTATTCCAGTGAATCCTATCATGGTACATGTATTGGTCAGTGGCCATCGCTAAGAGCCACCGAATCAACTAGTGAGCTATCATAAGCATCACTTTGCCAGTAGTCATCGCTAGGCAACCACCTAACCAACCCCCACTTTACTGGGACTAACTGGAAGGACAAATGGGTACTTTTCCCATGTGGGTTTCCCCTTTTTCACTGAGGACTCTCTTGCCACTTAATCATCATCTCTATATATTGCCTGGATTCACCATACCAATCAATTTAAAACCATGATGTTTAAACTGTGAAAAGGGCAGCTCATGCCATCATTACTCAATTCTATAAAAAAATGTGTTCAACACACCTCTGTTCAATGAAGGATTTTCATTCAGTGAAATACAACAATTCACATGTGCAATTATGAAGTGGGTTTAGTTCATCCTAAGATGTCAATCTCAACAACAATGCCATTCTCCACCAATTGCCACCAATGCAATCTCTAACAATATTTAATTACGCAATTCCCTCCCATGCAATTATACTCAATTTCAAAGCAGAGATAATATTTTCTACAATTCGAACCATTTCACAATTTAGGGTTTACCAAAATTGGGCTTTCACAAATTAAAGTACCCAAATGCTATTTGATGTAAAGAAAATAGATTTAATAAGAAAATTGTAGAGAAATACCCAATCAATCCCAAACCCTAGCGTCTAACATGAGTTTTCACAAATTATCTCTACCAATCTCCCAATGGAATATATCAAAATACCGCATATACTCATCTAAATCCATATTAAACAAATAGAAGAAAACCCTACCTCAAAAGTGAAGAGGAGAACGAAGAAAATCTGAAACTTGGCGAAACGAGGATCAGCTCCAATCAAAGTGTAGCCCTCGCTGTGCTGTAGGATGTCAATACTCGAGTTTTTGAGTGATTCACACTATAAGGCACCTAATCTTAGGGTTTTGTGTGTTAAAGTTAGTAGGTGAGAAATATATATAGAGAGAGAATAGAGTAAAGAGAAAGTGCACAATGTGTAGGAGGAGTGGTGAATCTTTGGATCATTTATTTTTGCATTGTCTAGTGACAGAGAGCTTATGACAAATGTTGTTTTGTTCGGGGAATGTATGTGGGTGGCTCCAAAAGAAAGTACAAAAATGACTTTAATTGATTTTCAAGTATTAGGCCGGTCAAAGAGGGCCAAGGTGCTTTGGTTTTGTGCTATCTTTGCAATTTTTTAGGTCATTTGGTTGGAGAGAAATGGGCGTTTTTTGAAGAAGAATCCCAAGATGTTGATTTTTTATGGGATAAAGTTCGACATTTAGTATTGTTTTGGGTGTCAGGGAGTCCTTTGTTCAAAGGAATTCCTCTCTTTATGATTGCAGCAGATTGCGTGTCAGTTTGTGATATGTAGTGTTTTTTTTATCATTTTGGGTTTTGCCTCTTTTTGTTGCTTTTGTTATTTTTAACTTGTAATTTTTTTCAAGGAAGCCTTATCATCCCTTCTTTTGGCTTTGTGCCTTAATAAAATCTTTCTTTGCTGCTGATAAAAAAAAAATAAAAAATAAAAAATAAAAAATTTAGAGAAAAGAAGTGAACAAGGAGAGAAAGAGACAAAAGCTGAATTAATGAGCTATGTCAGGCTGGTGATTGATCCTTTATCGGTCGTTTTGTTCTGCTAAAATTTTCAAAAATGGTTCAATGAAGCGATTGCTTAAGCAATCGATCGCCTATTGCCATTTTGAAAAATGAAATGGACGAAATGCAAGTATGGCGATCGATCGCTCTACCTAGAAAATTTGAGTTTTCAATCTCTGACTCAATGCAACTGCAACCACAACCACAATCAAATTCTCAATCATAAGTGTGGAATATGATATAACAACATCGACTGCGTATGATGACAATATAAACACGTATAGTTATTCAACAAGGTGAACGGTTCATGCTTGAACAACTAATAGACATGGGTAATTGGGTCGGATTAAGACCCAAAGTGTTACAAAAAGACCCTTCAATATATTCAATTCCATTGTCACTACGAACAAATTTGATTTTGGCTTCAAATTGATTTGTCACAATCTAATGAAAAGTTGTAAAGTAAGAAAAAAAATATTTTTAGCACTAAGTATATAAATCCAAGTAACATTAGGATAACAATCAATAAAGATAACAAACCAACGATAACCAGAAAGAGAGATAACAGGAGAAGCGACACAGTAGTATGAATAAGCATAAAAGGAAAATAGACTTATTTTAATTAATCGAAGGATAACAATAC